CTCCAGTGCAGGATTTCCTGGCTGCTGCAGCTTGAAAAAAAACAAAACAAAACTTTAGCATGAATAGCTTTAAAGAACGAGACAAAGTCAGATTGTCGAAAACGAAGTAATATGATCAAACTCAAAAGTCTCTTACAAATAGGATGTAAGACCAGGTTATGAAGTTATAATTCCATATTAAGTGCAGAGAATGTTAAAACTGATTTTTGAGTAATTTTGTATCGTACTCGCCTAATAGATTAGATAATTCCCTGTGGCCACATTAGTAGTCTATTTCTCATTCAACAGCTTAACAAGATTGCAAGGAAAAAACCATGGCCATTGATGGAGCCTTCAGTTTTCAAATGCACTGGTGTTTGATATCCAACATTTTTATCAGATCAAGACGTCTTTGGTACGATCTTTGGTTGCTGCAGCTTGAAAAGAAAAGAAAACTAAACTTTAGCATGGATAACTTATAATGAACAACACGAAGTCACATTAGCAAAAATGAAATAAAAAGAACAAATTCTGTTGAAAATAAGATGTAACCAGATTATAAGTTAAAAATTCCATAGTAAGTGCAGAGGAAGTTAAACTGAATTCTGAGTAACAATTTGACTTTTTGTTGCAAATATTTGTATCTTAATTACCCACGTAAATGTACTCAGTGCTTTAATTATTTATTCAATAATTTAAATGTTGCCGATTCACAACCATTAACACTAAAGAACCTCATCCAATGTTATTCATCATAAAAGTTGAAGTTACGACTTGAGAGACGCTGGTCAAAACGGAGGAAATGGTGATGAGCTTCAATTCACTAAGTTCTTTCGGGAACATAGCAACCACTAATTTTTTATTCTATTAGACATTTTCTTTTTATGTTCTGCATTTTAACAGAGACCCTCAATTGGTTCAAATCCTATTATTTTGAGTAGACAAAATGAATTTGTTACGGTTACAAAAAAACTTAAAACATCAATGCAAACCCATCCTTAAAATTACAAGCAGAGTATAATTAGATCCATTAAGATGATTAAAGAGTACAAAAATGGTCATTGAATTGGGGTATTAACTATTAAAGATGTGAGTTATTCCCCCCAAAACAAAAATATGATAAAGATGTAATAAAAATAATTAAAAGGGAAAGAGAAGGATATTCCTATAAAGAAATCAGTTGAAGTTGATAATTTCACTTAAATAGTAGCAAACGAGATGATATAAGCTATCGGTTCTCTATCCTTTGAGAAGGACATCCTTTTATTTCCTTCTTCAATATTGTCATCTGATGAAGGTGGTTTGTTAAGACTTCAATTTGGGGTTAAAATAAAGTTGCAAAGTCTAAAGAGTGGCATGACGTAATATCTTCATCTCCTCTCTTTATAATCTCATAATTCCACTCTTCCCATTCGTACATCTCCTCGAAGGAAAGAAATATGCACAAAATGTGAATGACAAAATGTGATTTTGTGGTAACTGATCAATATTTATAGTCAAGAAAGACCAAGGAATCTTTCACTTGGTGAGAGAATAATTTGGTTTGATAATGATAAAAAAATGGCCCGTCCACTTGAGAAAAATTAATAAAGTTTTTGCTTTGTATTAATCGACAAAGGCAGAGGTTAATGGGCCCTCCACTTTTGAATTTTTTGCTTGAACATTTTATAGTGCCACTTACTTTTTAAGTATAGCAACTGAATTGATTAAATCTCTTACTACAATAATGATCAAAAAAAAAAACTGTTTGTATGTATGTAGGGTTGCCATATTATGAACAACTAATAACGATGAAAAAAAATATATGCAATTTGATCATATTTAACTTTAATCGGATTTACCAAATGAGAAAAGAGAATTCTATTACACTTTTTATTTTTCTTTTCTCTTTTTTGGGAAAGTTTGGAAAATTTAGAGATTAATCAAGATATCACTCAAATATCCTTTTAAATATCAGATATAAATACATCTTAACTTCACAGCCAAAGTTTTAGAAGCTGTGCTTTCAAGTTTCCGAGATTGCTAATTGAATGCTTTAGTGCATGTAATAATGCTGTAACGTCCATTCAGGTATTTTATAGTGCAGGAAAAGAACCAAGATAACTTGATTTGATAGCTCAAGCCTAAGTTTTATTTTGATAGGACGTCAGGTAATAGTGATGTCCAACTCCATCTCCAAAGATAACATAATAATACAGGAATATGATACTTTGATTGATTTATGTTGGGAAAGATCTTTACTAAAAGAATAAGTTTTACTTCTTTCTTTCCTTAACACTTTTAGCTTTTACCATAACTTGATATGGAAGTATTTCTAGAAAATTTGTAGTTTAAGCTAAACAAATTAAATTTGCCAAGCCATGCTATAAAATTTGGCATCATTAACTTGTTTTAAAAGATAAATTTTTCATAATTTTAAGAGGCCAACTATAAAGCTAAAACCAAAAGCTCTGCAGACTTCTTATTTTTTCTCTGTTTCTGAGACAGTGAAAGAATTTGGGGTTGCTGAAAAATGAATGATTCTGGTTTGAATTTAATTTAATGTTATGATCATTAACCTCAGGTCTAGCAGTTCTCACATCGTTAAAGTTTTTTCTTGTTAATATTTTTGGAGCAACAGGCCAAACGTCAAAGATTTATTCTCACATCTTTTGCAATTTCACTAAAAGTAACATAAACTGCAGACTAACGTTTTTCCAGAGCAGCAGCAAATGTTATAGAAGATTAAGTTTTTTCTGCTTGAAAACGATAAGCTATGCTTTGAAGGATCTGTCGTAGATAAGTGATGAAATAATCAACCCCAAGAATAAGAATATAATTTCTTATTAACTTTGAAGCCAATGAAAGAATTTAATTTAAAGTAAAAAATTTGGACTTAGTTGTAAAATGCATGATTCTTAGTTGAAATTATTTAGTGATTAATCATTAAACTCAGCTCTCGAAATTGCTGAATGTTTGTGCTAGTTTGTCTATAGTTTTAGAATAACACAAGGCCAATTTTCAAGATTTTATTCTCACAATATTTTGCTCATTCACAATATGTAGTAACGTAAGCAGCTCCCACATGCTTTTGTTTCTGTTTGTTTCTCCCTTATTTCATAGGGTGATGGTATCTTATATAAACAGCTTGGTAAACAATCAAATATAAGTAGAAAAACAATAAGGAACACGATTATTTACGTGGTTCACCCATTTGGGCTACGTCCACGGCAATGGTAAGAAATGAATTATTTCACTATGGATCAAAAGAGTACAATGATACAACGTCTTTCACAATGACGTGTGAAAAGCTTGTATTTACAGAGTTAAAATGTCTCTAAAATAATACTAGATGATTCGGATGATAATACAGGTTTTTAAGTCTTTCCTAATCTCTCACAGTAACTTCTGAACATCCTAGTTATCCCAATTCATCCCTGCTCTATTATTCAAAGGACACATGTAATATAATGCTATATTAGAATATTATTCAAAGTTTGTTTGCAGTGGAAAATTCATCAAGCATAAAGGCATAATTAATTTAAATTAAACTTATAATAAAAAGCAAAAACTGTTAAGTTTGTATTCCACTACAAGAAACTGGAGAGAAAATTACTTAATTGAGGGATGAAAAGAAACCAAGATGTGGAATAGTTAAATCGGCAGGTTTTTTCTGGCAGGAAGTAATGCTAATACAGAGAACAAGAGTTGGTATTAATGGCACAGTACCTGATTCAATTTTCTGCATTTATCCAAAAATTCCTGCAACCTTCACTCAGAGGTAGCTAGTTGTTAGTAGAAGAGACGGTTCTAGCTTCACATAACGTGATTACAAGAAGTTATTAGATTATACATATATAAACTTTGGTTCTTTACTTATAATTATATGTTTGAAAACTTCAAACCTGAGAAAGACTCAAGTTCTTCATGCCCATGAGAATCTCTAGTGTACGATCTGATCACAGGACAGAACAAAAATTGAGCACGCACAGCCCGTTGATTGCTTCTAACACTTCCACGCTATCTGCTGTGAAAGGCTCTCTGATCTTGTCATACATCACATACATTGAGTCAATATATGAGAAGTGTTGAATGGAAGCTTTGATCTCTAAATTAATAGACCAAATCCTGTTTCATTCAGCCATTAGAGAAGAAAAAAGGGGAAATAACATTGTGGGTTTCTAAGACTTGTTTATAATGGAAATCCATCAAACATATCACCAAGTTCAATCAACAGTTCCATATCACCAAGTACTGCATCCAGAAAAGGATATTAAATAATAATAGATTATCAATATTAACTTCAATTTTTCATTGATAATAATATGTTTTAAACTTTTGAACCTGAGAAAAAGTAAAGTTCCCGAAACAGTTGAATTCCTTCATGCCAATAAACATCTAGCTTCTATCTTGTTGGCTAGTGTCGCATGTGCACAAGGGATATATTCAATTTTCTTGTGATGCCCCAAAGAGATATTTTACTGGTTGAATAACTCAATTATGGAGAATTGTAACTGTGTGGGCTGAAACTGCTATTTATGATTGTTTCTGTCAGAGAGGATAAAAAACTGTGTTACATGTAGACAAAATTATTGAGTCTTCAACTATTTCTTTCAGAGGGTGTGTTTGCAAGTTTCCAAGATCGCTAATTGAATGACTACATATTAGTTGACTTCAACTATTTCTTTCTTGAAGAAACAGAATTGGATGAACTTTGAAGATGAACGACACACTTCACACCTCAAATCACCTGAGAGAGAACCGTTAGCACATAAAGCTGTGGTTTCTTCTTTTGACCAAAATGCAGAGTTACACATTGAAGCACACGATCATTGAAAAAATAAAACTGTGGTTTTAAACTGCAAAATACATGATTATTTCAGTGAAAAAGCATTTGGGTTTGCTGATTGAGAATACTTTAAACTTGAGAATGAAGGGAAAAAAGCATCAACAGATTAAGATGCTGATTGAGACTGAGTTGCATTTGCAAAATCTGGAAAGTAATTAATAAATTGTGCTGTTAAACATAACGATATTTCCGCAAACAACCAGAATCATGATGTAAAATTCAAGTTAAAGCGAAACAAGAATAGAAAAACAGACCGGAGGGTTTTGGGTGTCGTTGAGGGACCTTGATGCGCGGGAGAGCTCCACCCATCGGCTCTCTCTGTCACCGCCAGACAGACCAGACTAACAATTACTACTCCTTGTTAGTGGAGGAGACAACGTCGTTTGAATGAGCAATCGATTTTTGAAAACATGTGTCTTTTGACTTGCCAAACGCTCCCGTTTAGGATAAATTGCATTGCATTCTAACATCATATCCAATTATTAGAAATAGAGCTGCGAGAGTCTGATAACTTCTTTACAGGGGCCCAATTCTGATTCTAGAGGGATGACCATGTTCTGTTAATCACTTTAATTGAGGGAACCCTGCAATGTTCCAAACCCTGTAACACAAACAAAAGACTAATATGTTAATACGCTGCAAAATAGTAAATGAAGATCAAATAATGAAAAACTGAGACAACAATAGAAAATTGATCTTTCAACAATAGAACACATGTTTCTTAAAGTATCACCACTTGGTGTGCATAATAGATATGTACAAAGTCATGGTTGTGCTACGGCCAATTACCTCATCCTTGTGCTTCGTATGCATCAACATAAGTAAAAATTGCTAGCTGAAACTGATACGGTGAATTGATGGAGCCTTTTCACTTTATATGGTGCTTGATATTAAACATTTCTTCACAAGATGTCATGGTTGTTTGTTGCAGCTTAAAAAGAAAAGAAATAAAAATTGATTTTTGAGTAATAATTTATTGCAAAGTTATAGATTTAAGATTATATAAGATTCCCTATGGCCAGATTACCGTGTCCAATTCACATCCAACAACATAACACAACAACTGCTTCAATAAAACCTCGGCAAGCTGAAGGAGCCTTTTCAGTTTTGAAATTGCAATGGTGCCTCATATTCAACATTTCTTTCAAAAGATGTCTCCAGTGCAGGATTTCCTGGTTGCTGCAGCTTGAAAAGAAAAGAAAACAAAACTTTAGCGTTATATCACTTTACAATGAGCAACACAAAGTCATATTAACAAAGATGAAGTAAAAATGATCGAAATTCTCTTGAAATTAAGATGTAAGACCAGATTATGAAGTTAAAAATTCCATAGTAAGTGCAGGGTAAGTTAAAACTAAATTTTGAGTAACACTTTGACTTTTTGTTGCAAAATGTTTGTATCTTACTTACCCACGTAGTAATGCACTTTGTGCTTTAATTGTTTATTCAAGAAGTTATAAAATGTTGCCTATTCACAAGCATTAACACTAAAGAATCTCATCCAAAATTTATTCATTATAAAATTGAAGCTAACAAGTTACGAGAGTGGACATTATTTGTGGATTGGTTATGATTGTAAATACGCAAAATCATAGTTGAAGTTAAGACTTGAGAGATGTTGGTTAAAATTGGAGGAGCTGTCAATTCACTCAAGTTCTTTTGGGAACATAACAACCACTAATTTCTTATTCTGGTAGAGATTTTCTTGCTATGTTCTTCACTTTAACAGAGACCCAGCACTGGTTCAAATCCTAGACAAAATGAATTTATTACGTTTACTAGAAAAAACATAAAATATTAGTGCAAACCGATTGTTTAATTACAAGCTTTATATTAAGAGTATAATTAGATTCATTAAGATGATTAAAGAGTACCAAAATGGTTATTGATAATAAGGGTGTTAAAATTAAAAAGATGTGAGTTATTCCCAAAAAAGAAAAAAATGATAAAAAATGTAAATAAACAAATAACTAAAAGGGAAAAGAGAGGAAATTACTTGTGGTTTGAAGTAAAATCAGTGTTGGAGTTGATAATTTCAAAGAACTTAATCAGTATCAGAGAAAGACGATAACAAACTATTGGTTCTCTGTTCTTCTGAGAAGAGGACATCCATCTATTTCTTTCTTCAAAGTTGTCATCTGATGAAGGTGGTTTAGTAGAAACTTCAATTTGGGGCAGAATTCAATTTTCAACGTCTGAAGAGATGGCATGATTATAATATCTTTCTCTCCTCTCTTTGTACTCTCATAATTCCACTCTTCCCATTCTTCCATCCACCACAAAGAAAGGTATTTCAATTTGGGAAACGCAATAATTGATTTAGATGATGACATGGCATCATTCTCTATTCCCAAAAACTCATTAGCCACTCTTTTCACTCTATTCATACGCCATATATCAAGAATTTCAAGAGATGATAACTTACCTAAGGGAGGCAAATGCTCACAGTTTATACCGTCACAAAGCATTAACTTTCTCAAATTGGTTAATGACATCATCCAATTAGGGAAAATAGTGTTGCCTCTGTAATTTCGTAGCCATAATATCTCTAAATTTAGATGTGGTTGTAACTCCTCAAGAAGTTCTTGATTTTGCTCCATATTCATACTCCCCTTAAAGTCTACATCCAAAACACGCAAGTTTTTCTTATTGTTTAATTCCATTCCTCTAACTTCACCCACATCTCTCAAATTTCCCAACCCTCTTATTCCAATTTCTCGGAGGTGTTTGAAGTTTTTTAAACATTCAACAGAACATGCTTCACTACCATAACTATCCTCACTTATAACAAATATTTGTAATGTTCGCAGACTCGTTAATCTCTCCAAACTTTTTGGCATGTAACTTATACTATATGTAGTCCCCTCATTTAACAAATGTCTCAAGTTGATTAAGTTTCCCATCCTTTTTGGTAGTTTCTTGATTTCAAAACAATATCTTATGTCTAAGGTTTGTAGATTATACAATTCACAAAATGTCTCAGGCAATTCTTTTATGTTTCTATTCTTAGACAAATCAAGGTACCTCAAAGATATTAACTGTTTTATTTCTATAGGAATTTCTTTAATTGAGCAGTATTTCAAAGATAATGATCTTAGACATGTAAATTGATCAACTAATTTGGACAAAACTATCTTAGGGTTAGTACCGTAATTACAATCCACTACAAGGCTACGTAGAAAAGTATTTCTAGTATAAATAGAGCTAGGAAGTGATGCCCCTTCTTGAATCTTTATCATTAAATATCTAACTTTATCATAAGAAGATTCTAATTCAATTTCTCCTGTACCATCAACCTTATAACATTCATTTTGAGTAAGAAATTGAGCAAAATCATGCACTATATCATGCATCTTGCAAGAATTTCTATCAATATCGTGTTCATTTTGTTCAAAATCTTGAAAGAAAGAACGCATTGCCAAAGTTTCGAAATACTCTTCACCAACTAACTCCATATCTTTATTTGGTTTTGACTTTAAATAACCTTGTGCCATCCACAACCTAATCAACCGCTCTCTCTTTATCTTATAATCCTTTGGAAAAACAGCACAATATGAGAAACAAATTTTCAAAGTAGGGGGTAAATCATAATAACTTACTAGTAAAGGTCGAAAAACCTCTTGCTCTACCTCTTCTAATTCCCAAATTTCACTCTCTAAGATATTTCTCCACTGGACAAATTTTCTTTTGGAACGCAAAAGACTTGCTAAAGTCTTTATTGCAAGTGGCAAACCCTTACACTTTTGAACAATTTCCCTACCAATTTCTACCAATTCATTAGATTCTTCATTGCTTTTTCCTGAAAATGCAACTTTACTAAACAAAGACCAACATTTTTCTTCACATAATGTCCCCAAGGGGATTATTTTGGTGGTTCCTATGACATTTGCAACGTTCTCCTTCCTTGTGGTCACCAAAATTCTACTTTCTGGAGAACCAAACTTAAGAGAACACTTCATTTGATCCCATTTTTTGGGATTTTCAGTCCATATGTCATCTAGGACAAGAAGGAACTTCCTTCCATTTATATGTTGTTTTATGTTTTGCACCACGGTTTCTAGCTCATTTAAGTTTGGGGCAGTATTTGTAAGAGATTCAAGGATTGCTTTGACAATCCTAAGCTCATCAAAAGGCTCGGAAACACAAACCCATATTTTTTTTTCAAAATGGGTGTTGACCTGATCATCATTAAAAACTGATTGAGCAAGAGTAGTCTTACCAATTCCTCCCATCCCTACTATAGAGATGATGCGAAGGTCTTGTGCACAACTACTCTGACAAAGCAAAAAATCTATAACCGTTTTCTTTTCGGCATCTCTTCCATAAACCTCTCTTAAATCAACAATCGAGGTTGTCATTGGTCGTTCTATTTCTTTGTTACTCTCCGTGATTGATCTAAAGTTGAACCTCTCTTTTTCGATAGCAATAATATCTAGTTTTCTATCGAGATCTTTTATCTTGACGCTAATGTTGTAACGCAAAACCAATGGCCTACAACCGAGATAGTGAAGAATGAAGGAACATACCTTTTTCAGAGGATTAAATGCATCTTCAAATTTCTTAATCTTCAATTTCTCAAGCTTTGTGATCCACTCATCCAACACATCATCAATGTCATAAGACACGTCTTTAAGCTTGGCTAACCAAACTCTCACAGCGTTCTCCTTCACCTGTCGATTCTCAACATCAATAAGTACAGCTTGAATGGACAGGAAGTTGCTTTGAAGCTTCTCAACTTCTTGCTCAACACCTGCAATCAAAGTTATCCCTTCTTCTGTTTGTTGACGAATGATTGAAACAAATTGTTCCAACACTATCTCCACAAGCGCTTCAGCCATATTCAAAGGTGCTATGTAATTGCTCAAAACAGAGATTGAGAAATTGAAATGGTTGGTATGTTTATTTAGTGGTATTTGATCAATTTTTTTAGTCAGAGAAAGACAAAAGAAATCTTATACAATTTAGGACTAATCGACAAATGGAGGAGCATAATGGACCCTCCACTTCAGAAAATTTAATCCTAATATAATATAATATTTATTTTTTTGGGATATTATCTAAAAGAACCGAGCAAATCCCATTAAAAAAAGGGTAATTATCCGTTCATATTTTTTAATTAAAATAAAAACCTAATTAATTAGGTGAAACATAATCTCAAAATTGAGATCACAAGATGAGAATGGAGGATGCGTATACGGAAAAATCACATCTAATAAAAAAACTAGTAAATATTCATGACTCAGCTTCACGTGGAAACATTACACCTAATCAAAAACTAGTAAAATAAAAACCAAATTAAGTAGGTACCAACTAACCTTTGACTTTCTTTTTCTTGCTTGTGTGAGAGGGGGAGATTTTTGTTAGTTTATTGTAAATTATAACTGACACATCGATCGGTTAAGTGACAGATAATAATAATATTAATGAAAATATTTGCCCTTTGGTTCCCTGGTCCTACTGTCGGCCACCTTTAAAGAAATTTAAAAAGGGCAAAAGACTTTTTCTTACTCCAATAATAGTTTAATTATACTTTTTTATTCATAAATTTTTAAAATATTATTTTATTACTTAAATTTATATTATATTTTTTATTTCAACATCATTGTGACCCTACACTATTATCATTCTCTTTCTTGATTATTGCTCACCAAAACCCCTTAAACCCTACTAACATCAGTCCTGTCAATCACCATAGTCAAGCGATTAAGGTTTGTACAACCACTCCTCTGAAGTCAAATTCTAATCAATCCCAACCACCAACCTCCTCTCTTTAAAACCTCCAACATGTTAGACTGAGTAAAAGTTAAAAGAAAAATCTTTGGAAAGTCCATGTTTTCTCCTTTGTAATGAGACTTGGAAAAGATGTAGGCTCCGTGGATTATTATATGACTTAGTTCTAACTTAAACCAATTAAGAATTTGTTTCATAAATATTGGTAAAAAATATAATTCTTCTTCGAAATTAATTTAGTGATTATGGTCATTAACCTACTCTTAAACAGGTCTCGATATTGCTGAATGTTTGGGCTTTTCAATAGTCTTGGGATAACACATATCCGTTTATCAAAGGGAGCGTTTGGTTCGGGGTGATATAAGATTAATCATGTAATCTTTGTTTAATTTTCAAGATTTCCTCATTTGGTTGTTAAGTAATAAAAGATTACGTAATCTTTTATTGCA